CTGCGGAGCCGGCCCAGCCCCCGAGCAGAAGGCAGGAGCAGCCTGCACCCCGGCTGCTCAGGGCCCCCTGCCCTGGAGGGCCAGGCAGGGGCCCAGGCCAGTGGGGTGGGGGCGGTGACCGCCTTCCTGGCGTCCCACGAGGTGCTTGCTTCCCCCGTGACCCCCAGCAGAGCGAGCGCCCAACCAGCAGCTCTGCCAGATGGTGAAGTGACCCCCGGATGGCAGGCCTGGTGCTCAGCTGCTGTGTCTGAATTGGGGCGGGAGGGGTTCCGGCTAGTGGGGAGGGAGGGTCCCACTCCCAGGCAGCAGCCCCCAAGCAGTGAAGGAATGCAGATCCACGTGCTCAGGAGAGGTTTATTGTGAGACGGGCGCAGACGCGGAAAGGTGAGGGCAATGCGGAGGAGATGATGAGGGAAGGACGGGCAGGCGGGCGCGCAGCTCTGGGCTTTGTCCGCGGGTGGGGGCGCAGATTTGGGGCTGGCCTCCCTGCAGGGCCCCTGCGGTAGTGGCAGCCGGAAAGGGCTCCTGGGGTCCTGCCTACACCTTGCAGAGAAAGGGGTTCTTGTCGGAGCAGGATTCGTTGTCCCACAGCATGAATCCTGGAAACAAAATGGGGGGTCAGCACTGGGGAGGGAGTGGGGGGCTGCCAGTCCTGGGAAGGAGCTCTTGCTAAGCCGAGATGGGCCCTTGACCACCATTACCTTTAACCCAACTTGTGAATGGAAGCCTCTGGCAGCTCTTCCTTGTGGCTCCCTCTGCCCCTGGGAGCATTCTGGGTATTTTGTCCTCTTGCATCGTGCCAGCCTATGCCTTGCAGCGTTGGCTACCCCGGGATGCTCCTTCAGGCCCCAGGCAAGCCTCTTGCCCAGCAGAAGATCAGTGGCCACCCCAGGACCCCCTGCCTTGAAGACGGCTTCTGGGCCTCACCAGAGGACGGGAAGGAGCAGCTGCACGGGATAAGCTGGCTGGCAGAGGGACCGCCCTTCTTGCCCGAGGCCGCATCTGCCCTCCCCCTTTTTACGGATGCCAGCTGAGAACGCTCTGTGCTGCCCGAGACCAAGCAGCGGCCTTCGCGCCACGTGCTAAGCCAGGCTTCGTGTGTTGTGTAACCCCACCTCCCAGTTTTTGGGAATGGGTGGGGGCATGCAGAGACTGGCTAAACGGGAACTCTTTTGCCCTGTGTCAGGGAACCGTCGCCACCCTTCCTTGGGGCTGGGAGTTCCCCAGATAAGCAAAGAACAACCTTCCTGGGGGGGGGCTGCTGCACTCCCCCACATCACAGCTCTGGGCCCTTACCGTGAGAGTCGTCCAGGGCAGCACAGTTGTCGTCCCAGTCGTGGCGGTCAGCCTCTTCCCACGCAGTGTAGCCCAGGGGGCTGCCGTCTGCCCAGGCCCAGGCCCAGCTCTGCAGGTGCAAGCCAATACATCAGGACAGGTCATCCGAGCGAAGCAAAGCATGGGAAGGGGGTGGGCGGGGAGCCCCAGGGGGCAGAGGAGCAGCGTCTGGAGCAGCTCCCCGGTCACTCACGTGCGGTGAGAAGGAGAGTCCCAGCCAGACGTCCTCCTCCTCGTCCTCCCACTCCTGCACCTTTTTCAAGAAGTTAGCAACGGCTCGGTGCTCCCCTGGGTCCAGGATGGAGGCCAAGTGGCCGTGGTAGTGCTGGCAGAAGGCCTGGATGGGGGGCAGAGGCAGAGATGCTGCAGAGGGAGGCAGGACCCTGCCTTTGAGGGGGCACTACGGCATGGTTTTCAGCCTGGGCAGCTCTGAGATGGGTGGACTTCAACTCCCAGAATTCTGGGA